TCCCATCATTTAGAGACCAGAGAAAGCCCAGCAGAGTTTGGGTGGTGGGTTTATTTCTGCCTTGCTTCTGGCTTGGCTTCTGTGGAATGGCCCTTAATCACAGTGACGGTGATTCTGATCCGATGGCAAGACAGCCTTTGCTGCAGATGGTCTGGGCCATCGAGGCGTTTGGGATGAGGCGGTCCCCACAGCGATCAGCGTTCACGCCTTCAAGAACAGACCGGGAAGTGTCCTCCAGTTTGATATGCCCCTGGTTTATGTTGAGTCCCAGTCAGCGTCATGGCAGCCGGAAACCAGGTGCCCTTCATGGTTCTCGTGTCCGGGGTGCTCTCAGAAAACGGCAACTGAGGCAGGAGGACGTGGTGATCAGTCCAGCACGTCAAGTCAGAAGCCAGGAGGACCATCTTGGGACTCGCAAGTTTGTACCCTTTGACCCCCTTCACCCAGTTCTCCTACGCGCCACCTCCTGCCTCTGACAATCACCAATCTGTTCTCTGTATCTATGAGTTTGGTTATTTTGTTTTTGTTTTTGTTTTTTGTTTCTTCTGGGGTCCACACATTAATAAGGTCATACAGTATTTTCCTCTGTCTGACTTACTCACTTAGCACAGTGTCCTCAAGGTCCATCCATGTTGTCACAAATGGCGTGATTTCCTTCTTTTTTATGACTAGTAGTTCCTTCCTCTTGGTTCTTACAGCACCTCCCTGTAAACCTCTCTCATCACACTTAAGAAAATGGTTCGTAGTCACTGATGACTTGTCTGTGTGAGGATAAGGGCCACGCCTCACTGGCCCTCGTGTTTCAGCATCTGACGTGGTGCTGGCACACAGTAATGTCCAGGTAACTGGTTAGTGACTCAGTAAATCAGTGACTGAAAGAATTCGTTCATATTCATCTCTTTCATGCTCTACTCTCTTCATATGTTCCCCTCTTTTCTTTTGCTTCTCTTTGTCTCCACTGTGAGTAAATGTCTGCAAGATAGTAGAATAGTACGAGCTTTGTGACCTTTAGAGTTTTCTTAGACCTACAGATGTTGGAAAGTGGATTTTGAACCCTGGCAAACAAACCGGAAAAGGTTAAACATTGTGGGTGGATGTGGCAATGAAGAGGATTTCACCAGTGTTTGTTATGGGCAGTGGTGAGGGTTACGTTAGCGAGGTAAACATTCTTTGCTCAGGAATGAGAGGGCTCTGGATGGGTCTGCCCCACTCCAGCGGCAACACAAACAATATTCTGCCCCATGGAGATGTTAGGTAACTGACCTTTCTCCAGTCTGGAGGTCTCCTGAGATGTCCATCATGGGGACCAAAGATAAAAACATCCAAACTTGGTTTAGCCCAGATACTTTTCGTGGAGATATTATGAACCAATAAAGGTCCTAAGACACTGGTCAGCAAATAGTGGGTGCTAATAACTGCTAGTCTTTCATGCTCATCCTCCTTCCCAAGCTTTGTCAAGTTCCCAGAGACTGAAGTTTCCTTGAAATTTCTCTCAGGATCAAGGTCAGGAATGAGGGCTGGTGCAGGTGGTAAGTGCCGACGCGCACATCTTCTCAGATGCCAGTAACTTAATTCTCTTTGGCACTTACACTTTCTTTGAGAATAAGATGCTCTGACTGCAGTCCAGCTATTGATTATAGAGAATGTTCTGTACGAACTTCCTGAGAGCCGCCCTGCTCAGCTCAGATTTAGGCAGGGACCAGTCCACTCGCCCAGGATGCTTGCCAAAGATCCTCTCCTGGGAGCACGGCCGTGCTCCATGTGCTCCGTGTTCTCCTGCCTTGGCTTGAAGAGGTGCTCTGGAAGTCTGGAGGTCTGCTCTCCTTAAGTCCTGGCAGTTGAAAGCCCTCAAAGCCAGGACCTTGGAGATTCTGTCCACTGCATGTCACTGGCAGTGGTTTGTTTTGAGTCATTCCCCCCAAATCCACTGAAATCATTGTTTTCTTTGTCTTTTCAGGAGCATCTAAAGGCCTTTGATGATGAAATCAATGCTTTTTTGGACAATATGTTTGGACCTCGGGGTGAGTGAGCTGCTTGAGAACTTAATGTGGTGGGAACACAGCTGAGTTAGAGAGGATTGTCATTTCTGGTGTCTTAAAGAGTACGGTACTTAACACTCAGAGACTTTAACCCGCCCTCCATTTGATGTCCACCTCCCAGGACATGCGGAGGCCTCATGCCTCCTGCTCAGCCTCTCTGGGGTTCAAGCTCTGGGAGCAGGAGCGTGAACAGAGTGCAGTGGATACTGGCCCAGGGGCATCTCTGGCCTCCAGGACGGAAGTAGCTTCCATCTAAGCTGCTGCTTCCTCTCCTCCTCTGCTGCCCATCCCTCCCACTTCCTCCCCGCAGTCATGCGCGGCCTTCCCCCTGCCCTGTCTAGGTAAATCCCCTGTAAAGATGAGTGACTTTCTCTGCCCAGGGCCACGAGTTCTGGCTTCTCAGCTCCGGTCCTTCTGAATGTCTAGGTCATTCCGCCATCACGGGTCCCTCAGCCCCTACAGGGCCTCCCAGCCTGTCGGCCCCTTTCTCATCATGTGTGACCTGTCAGCTGGAGTAATATTTTCAAAGTCTATATCCTGTTCTGTGGCACTGCAGCTTAAGACTCTTCCGTGTCTTCCCGGTGTCTTCAGGATAGAAACCAAACTCCTCACCGTGGACCATGTTCCCCGTACTGTCCAGTCCGACAGTCCGTGCTCCTCGGCCTCACTCCCTGGACGCCTCTTACGCCCTCAGATATGGCAAGTTCTTTGCTATGCTGTTCCTCCCACTAAGTCCTACCCCCTCACACACCAGGTGTCACTGTCCCCTCCTCAGTGAGGCTTTCCCTGGTCAGGACGCCAGAGATCGGCCCTCGAAAGCAGGCCCTCCTTACTCTCCCGTGCGGCCTGTGTTTATTTCCTTCACGTACTTCGTTGTTGTTAATAGGTCTTTCTCCCACCAGCGCAGGAGCTATGACGGATCTCCGGGGCCCCTTACAGTTCTAGGAACCTATTAGGCACATATTTAAATAAATACATAGTGCAAATAAACGAATAAATTCTGAACAACGTGTTTTGTTTCCCTTGAGTCTTTCTGGTTCACAAAGATGTGAAAAACCTGCAAGTTGTCTCCTCAGCATCACTGGGGGAGGTGGGGAATGAGGTTTCCCTGTTTCTCAGAATCCTTAAACGGAATCATTTAGGGAGTATTTAGACCACTCTCTAGTTTCTACACGGGCTCCATAAACTACCCTAAGGGAATGACTATTTGCATGGTTTTGATGAAATGATGCTCTATGATTGGTCAGAGCTTTACAAATCATGTATTTTCACATTGTCTTTGGTTTTTGTTTTGTTTTCCAGTTTATCCTTGGGAGGCTCCTGTGAGGCAGGCAGGCTGGGATCCCCATAGCTCGTGACCTGCCGTAGTTAACGTGTTCTGTTGAGTTCTAGCAGGGAGCACAGAGGCCTGGCGTGCTAACATCGTCATGCGGGGCTTCTGGGCGGCTGGCTTTCCACGTGACATTTCCACTAGGGGGTTAACCAGCAGTGTCTCTGAGCCAAGGCCGCACTGAACTTTGCTATCAGTAAGAACACCGTGACTTGGAATTACGTGGCTAGGGGATTAGCTAAGGATAGGATTGCGGTTGTTTGCTTAGCTTCGCTCATTTTTATGGACGTTTCCTTTGCGGCAAGGAGATTGTGAGATTGACAGTTGACAGCTGGATCAGGTGACCTCCACAGTGACAGGGAGTCTCGCCCCAGGCCATCAAGAATCCTTTTCCCCTTTGAGAAGTGGCCCAGGCTTCAGCGGTCCGAGGCCACCTGGTGGACTTACAGGTGTCCCCGAGGCTTTTCTGACTTGACCTGCTCCGTGTTGGTACCATCAGGATAGGTTGTTCTGGGCAAATACTTGACCCAGATGTGGAGCTAAGGTCTCAAGTCCCAAAGATAATAAATGTTATGAGTATTTGTTCCCACCTTTTGGTTGGAACAGTTACGACCCTCCCTAATGACCACGGCAGCATTTACAGAACCGTGGCAAGAGAAAAGGAAAGCCTCGGGTGCTGTATTAGGTAATATGTGCTGGACTCCATGTGCCAGTTGCTACGTATCTGGTGAGTCTTCTTCAACTCTGCACTAAGTGGTTATCAGTTGTAAGTGACACAGAGGAGAAATGTGAGACGTGGTCCATCTCACAGAGCATATGCCGCAGCTGGGAGGTTAAACTGACACCTCTGAGATGATTGGAAAGCACGGAAGTAGACCATGTGTGTTACTAGTTTCCCGTAGCAGTGAAATCCCACCAACCACACGGCTCACGGCAACAGCTGTTGACTCAGTTCTGAGTGCTCGGCGCCAAGGCTCTGCCTTTGCTGTCTCCAGCTTGTCAGGCTTGCCCTACTGGAATCCCACTGCTCCGTTTGGATCAGCTGAGCTCAAAACCATTCCTGGTTTCTGCACAATGATCCTAAGCAAATTCTGGGGACTGTGCGTTTTAGGAGTTAGAAGACGGTATCAATGTGCCTTCTCTCCCGCCTACTCAAAGCTTCTCGGTGGGAGGCAGCGGCAAGGTAAAGTGGGCTGGAGTCAGGTGTGAATTCAAATCCTGACTCGGCTGCCAACTACTGTGTGGCCTTCTCTAAGTACTAATGCTTTCTGAGCTGTTTTTACATCCATAAAATGGCACAGTAAGCTCATTTGTGTTTATCGAGTTCAAGTAAATACAGTAGCTGTTCCCAAGTTAGACTTTGAAGAACTATTGCGTGCTGCCTTTCTCACTTGTCCCCGTTACACAGGGTCCAGTTCAAGCCACGTTTGTTCCATGGAATCTTCCTAACTGCTCCAGCCCCTGCTGGCTGCTGCTCCTCAACTATAAGCCACACGCAGCTTGCCTGCGCCGGGCCGTTGTCCCTGTCGCGCGTGGCGGCTCACGATGGCTGCACCGCTGCTCCTCCCGAGCCTCACTGTGCGTTTCTTTTCAGATGCTCGAGTCAGAGGCTGGTTCATGTTGGACTCCTGCCTTCCTACCTTTCTCTTCACTGTCTTGTATCTGCTTTCAATATGGCTGGGCAACAAATACATGAAGAACAGACCGGCCCTTCCCCTCAGGGGCGTCCTCACCTTGTACAACCTTGGAATCACACTGCTCTCCGCGTACATGCTGGTGGAGGTAAGTGCGCAGCAGGACAGCCCCTGAGCGACTTCCAGAAGCAGTTACCTCTGGGCTCCCGGAACTGTCCACCGTCGCCTCAGTGCTGTCCTCTACCGTCTCAGAACAGCGCAGGGAATGACACTCAGTACCTTGTAATGGCCTGTAGTGGAAAAGAATATGCAAAGGAATATACACGTATGACTGCATCACAATGCTGTCCACCAGGAATTAACACAACATTGTAAAGACCCTATACTTCAATAATAATAATCATTAAAAAAAAAACCTCAAGAAGCTCTTCCAGCATTTGATATTATTCCTTCCCAAAGTCCTAGAAGTCTTTGTTTCTAACTTGAATTTTTCTTATTCCAATTTAGACCGATTTCTTTAGTCCTTAGTCTTTCATTGTAATTTAAAATCACAGTTTCAATCTGAATGGGCCTTAAAAGGTCGTATGTTACCGCTTTTCTCCTTCTGTAGATTATGATACTGAGGCTTATAAAAGTTAACCTGACTTGCCTGAGAATACACAGCTGTTTTGGAACCGAGTATTTTTAAAATTAAATATCAAATGCAGTTAGTTGGACCGAAATGCAAATATACCATCCCTTAAAGGCTCCTCCCCGCAGCTTTGGACCACCGTGTGTCCTCAGGGCTGACTTCTGAGGTCTGGGGCGACACTCCAGTGGCCACAGCCGCTCTCGTCGCATCATGTCTTCCCTATTCCTTTAGAACGTGCCAAACCCAGGTAAATTTTTTTTACAAGGAAAAGAACAAGTAATGACTGCCCTGCCTCTACAGCCAAAGGTTTTATTTTACTATAATACAAGAGAAAATGTCAAAGTGTTAAATAAACCTGCTTGAGAGAGAAAGAGCTAAAACATAGCTAAACCCTTTCAGGGAAAAGTTAGGATAAAATCATTCATATAAACGATCAGTGGCTGATGGTGGCACAAGTGTTGCTGCCTTCCTGGTGTCCTTGGAGTCCACACAGAAATCAATTCTTGCCCCAAATACAGGCCCTCTCACCTTGGAGATTAATCTGTGCACTAGTCTAATAGGCACCATTCTAATAATGGTTCATAACTGTTATCTGAAATGACTGTCAGGAAAATCTGATTGTGGGATTTTAAGCATCAGAGTGCAGGAGGTGGAATTTGGGGTCAGGAAAGCCACGCCAACAGCTTGGAAATCACGTCACGTGGCTGTTCTCTAGTTCACCTGACTCTAACGGGAATTTTTATTTTAGGTTCCCTACTAGGTAAATTTTAGTTACCTAGATGTGTTTGCAAGATAGTATTTGATGGGGCTAGTGTCTCCCTGTGTAACAGAGAGACAGCTCCTCCTGCTTGGGCTGTCCGCAGAAGTAGCAGCCGTGCCGAGGGGCGAGCCTGAACGTGTGACCACGTCGGAAACTCGTCCCTGCTGGAGGCTTTGATGTAGGTGGAGTCAGAAGACCCGAAGTCAAGTGTCGGCTCTTCGCTTTCTCTAACTCTAGAGGAGTGACTTAAGTTCACTGAACCTTAGACAGCTCGGCTTTAATATGGTGTCTGTCCTACCTTGCTGGCTCGGGAGCGTAAGGATGAGTCAGTCCTGTTCAGCCTACACTGAGTACCTGCTGGGTGCGGCTGCGGGGCTACAGAGATGGCTGGATGTGGCTTCTGTACTGGGAGAGCTCACAGACTAGCACAGGTAGCAGCCAGTAAACGTGAAAAGGCCTCATAAATTTTCAGGCGAATATTAGGCACCATCAGCCAGAACAAGAACAGCAGCTTAGTGTTTGAACAGCTGGGCGCACGGTTTGGGGGAGAGCGTCCGCCCGGAGCTCCTTCCCCACGGCCGGTTTCAGCCCCTGCCCGCCCGCTGTCCCTCTTCCCACACGCCTGTCTCTTGGTGCAGAATCACACTGCTGACGGATTGCTCCTGGTCGCCTGACTGTAGCCTCTCTCAGGGCGAGGGTTCTTCTCTTGGACACCACTGGGGTATGTTTAGTAGACACCAGTCAAGTGACAGCTTCCTTTAACCTTGCTAACTGGTTATGCCCAGGCCAGAGGTTTGCTCAGGCCAGGAAGCTACACTACAGTTATGAATTATTCTTTCAACACATAGGTTCTGCATCCCTGTGCTGTGGCAGGGGGTGTTCTGGACTCTGGAGCACAGCCTTTGCCCTCGGGCACTAGGGAGCCACGGGCTCGGGGCGAGGTGAACTTACATGCAGGATTGTCAATACAAGTACTGCTGTACCACGCGATCCGCGGACATGGGGGGACCGCGCTGTGGAGGGGGCGCTGTCAGCCAGACACAGACTTTCCACTGTGCAGAGGTCGGCGCCCTGACCCCTGTGTTGTTCAAGCGACACCTGCGTTCTTGCCATCTGGAAAGTTCAGTCTCTTTTAAACTTTCACTGGATTCATTTATCCTGGTAATCTGTAATTGTGATGTTAACTGCAAGAGGTTTTTGTTAGAAGGAAAGAGCAGTAAATAAGGATATTGGAGAAAAGACTCTAAAACATCCTCATGGTTTTTAGTAGTTCATGTCTTTTTAGTGTTCAATTCATTAACACCTCTCCCTCCCTGCTCTGCTAGTGAATGTTAACAGTTCTGTACCTTCACACATTTCTGATAAGCAACAGAAAACTGTAGGCATTTACATGTAATATCTTATGTAAATCAAAGCCAAAGGCCTTATATTCTGGAATTTTAAGTTTCTTAGTATAGTGGGAAAGAAAGAAGAGAACTTCTTTTGTAGAGTTTTCTGCAAAGAAAGTTCATCTTCTTATAATGTAGAAACACTAGACAAGGAATTAGAAGGGCTGAGTCCAGTCACTGCTGGACCATTTTCTAGCCGTGTAACCCAGAGCAAATAATCCACTTTCATACAGTCATCAAGATGCGCCATCGTGAAAGCGCTGAGCACGTCTCCGCTCCAGGTGTTGAGCGAGGAACCCAGATGCAAATATGAGCAGAAAAGGAGGCGTAGACTTTATGGAGCTTTTTGTTTTTTGAGCATAACGGGGAAAGCAGACATTAATCAATTATAATCACACAAATGACTGACTACCACGTAGCATAAATACAATGAAGAACTTGATTTAAGAACCTTTTTGAGCCTTGGGATTCATATCTGTGAAATGGTAAAAACTTCAAAAAATGATTGAGATGATCAACTAAGATCTTTATATATAAGCCAGTGTAAAGTATTATTAAAATTTTCATGCTGTTTCCTCACATTTGTTTACACTTAATTCTACATTTTACTTGCAGAAACTTATGATAAATTCCTTACATAAAACACTGTGTTACACAAGCAATGGCTAAATTCTGTTACTTTTGGCAGATGTAAAGGTTAGAAGTAGATTATATTAACTAAGGAGTGTAACCACTGATAGCAGTTCAACAGCAAGAATGGGTCGAGTCCAACTCCAGTTCTGGGAAGAACTCAAATCTTGAATAGACGCCAGTCAGAAACACGATGGGAAATCCAACACAAGAATTTGGATGAAAACTGAACTCCCCCCTTCCTTGTTCCTTTGGCAGCTTATCCTCTCCAGTTGGGAAGGAGGCTACAACTTGCAGTGTCAAGCTCTCACCAGCGCAGGGGAGGCCGATATCCGGGTGAGTCAACCTCTGTAGCTCTCTCTCCCTGTACATGTGAGGCTTTCTCCTTCCAGACATGGGGTTGGAGGCTGGGATTAGATCAGAAGCAGTCCCCTGCCCTCGTGGAAGTGCTTACTGGGGGGGACAGACTGAATGAACAAACCAGGACGCATCCACACAGAGCTTCCCTCTGCAAAGGGCAACGAGGATGCTCTCTGCCCTGGTACAGAAGATACCAGATACAGCCAAGTGGAAAAAAGCAGCCCGCAGACCGTGCTCATAGGAGAGTGCCTTCTGTGCAAGAAATGATGTGAATATGTGTGTGTTTGCTCATGTTCTTAGAAAGAAACAACAGCAGAATGCACCAAAAGCTACCAGAGTGGTTTCCTTTCCGGGGAGGGGACAGGGCAGAGGGTTTAGGGATGGAAGCTAGACTTCTCTGAACGTACCTTGTCTTATATCTGACTTCAGGCCCACTAGGTGTTTTTACAAAAGCATAAAACAAAATTAAATTGAAAAAGAAAGCAAGGCAGCCCCCCCCCTCTAAATCTTGGAAATAAACTAGAATAGTGTACCCATATCTTAAGTTGTTAACACAACTACCCAAAGAAGAATTATTTTGGTGACTCTAGACACTGTGTTTTGACTGCACATCCCTAGTGAGATATAGCTGAACAGTATTCAGGAAGTTTTTGGCTGCTATTATTAATAAAAATACTGATACTGCTTTTTATGAGACTGTTACAGGTACACTTAGAATAAAGTATATAATAATGTTAGTATCATTACAACTCATATTTGAAACATCATAGATGAGATTATTGAAAAGTTAAACTCAAACCCAGTAATCGTAGATTCAAATTGGAAATATTAGAATTAACTTTATTCTTTCTAAAAACAAATGTATTTCTTAGCTCTGTCTACAGAAAAGGCCTGGTTAGTCTGCGACAACCCAGCAATGAATACCCAGGTTGTGCTCTTTAAATAAAATCCAAACCAGAAGGGCTTAGGGTCCTCAGAGAGCTGGCTGATTCCTGGTTCGGGGGTGGGAATGTATATGAGAAGAATCCAGGCCACCTTGTGGCAGAAAGCAAGGAAGCCGCCCCAGATAGTAGGGTTGTGACGGGAAGATGTAGGAGCCACCTTGAAGGGGCTCCCACAGCTAATGATGGGACAGTCTGAGTATCGTAAAGAATACAGACATATTAGACGTATTAAAAAAAATTTAAGATGATGCAAAAAAAATCCTCATTGTTGCTTTTTGAAAATTGCTAGAGCACCAATTCAGTCTAGAAAAAAAAATTAAAGGGGAAAAAAATCAAAACATCTTGGCTTTCATATGTGACTTTCCGAATAACTAAAGAGGAAGAATTCTTCTCCATAAAAAAAAAAGAAAAATGCCCAAGTATGAAGAGAGCTTGCAAACCACCCTTTGACAGCTTCTTGTGAAGTAACGGAGCCAGGCAGCCATCATCTGTAAGCAATGAACCTGCGGGGAGGGAGATGGGTGGGAACTTAATGACTGGATTAGGTGGTTGCCACCCGAACCCACTGTGCATCTGAGTCTCAGTGGAACAACCAGAAATTACGGCCCCCTGGGTGTGATGTTATGGAGCACTCACGGAGCACGGTTGACTTGAACTGCGTGGGATTTTCGATACAAGTAACTGCTGTACCACGCAATCCGCGGACACGGGGGCCTGCGCTGTGGAGGGGGTGCTGTCAGCCAGTGACAGACTTTCCACTGTGCGGAGGCCGGCGCCCTGGCCCCCGTGTTGTTCAAGGGTCACCTGTGTTCTCGCCCCAAACCTTAAACCTGAATCCAGTCAGGCCTCTAAGTCTAATCACTATTTACAGAAAATGGGGCAGATGGAGAAACAAGGTAAACAACACTAGGACGAAACCGTATTCCAGGTCCGTACTGTCAGGAGTTCAGTACAACTGACCTCTTTTCTAAAGAAGTGCAAGACATGAAAGAAAACAGGAGCAAGGAAAGGAGCCTGTCACTGGTTAGAAGGGGCCTAGCCACCATGTCAAACAAGTGCAAGCTGGACCCTGTCTGGGTCCTGATTCAGACAAATCACTTACAAAAAGACACTTCTGAGAGAGGTCTGGACATTGATGAGGCTATTAGAGGATCCTGAAGAGTTGTTAATTTTGTTAGATAAGATAGTGTCTGGAGGTTATGTTAAAACAAAATCTCCCTATCTGTTAGAAATTGTTAGAGACAGAATATGAGATACTCTGGATTTGCTTGTGCTGCCCTCCTCCCACACCAGCAAGAGTGGCAGGAAATAGAACTGATTCCACAAATGGGAATCATATTGAAGATTCTGAAGTTCAGTGTTAGAAACCAGAGGGTTTGTATGACTTACTCATTCTGCATCTGTGAATTTCGAAATTTTCCATAATAAAAAATATGGGCTATTCATAAGAGAAGGTAGAAACCTTTTAATTACAGATTTTAAGATGTGCATTTTTAAACATCTTCAAAGCTATAATGCAAAGAGTAAGATACACAGATTATACCCATTTCATTTCCAATATGTCCTCACAGGCCGTTGTTGTGCTTTGGGACACGTACAGTTCTCTGAAGGTCATTGTCCAATGTATGTATTTATTTGTGGTTTAATATTTTTGAGGGTTAATTTTCCCCTTAAACATTAAGAAGGATGCTGCCCCACCTTGTGACTTTCTTCCTGGGAAGCGAACAGTAGAGCGTTACGTTGTGATGTCAAAATCTCTATCACACAGTGTTTCCTCTCATGTTGAAATGTTAGCGCTGGGAACACAGCGCCTTTATTGGAAGCGTTTCCTGCAGATGGGATTGCGAGGGGTTCAGGGGGGAGGGGAAGTTGCCGTCATGACCTTGTAGCATGTTTTTTTTTTAAAGGAGGTCCTGGGGATTGAACTCAGGACTTCGTGCATGCTAAGCATGTGCTCTACCACTGAGCTATTTCCCTCCCCCTAGGTAGCATTATGTTGAAGGGACAAAATATGAACATTAAAGGAACGGAGGAAAAAACCAGTGTAACAGCAGCAGTGATCTCCTGCTGAGCACTGGGCCCTGAGCAGACGGTCTCTGCCCCCAAGTGACTGACAGCCTGGGGGGAAGGAGTCCTCACACTCACCCTGCTTGGCTATGGCTGTTGGTGACAGAGGCCTAAAGTGACTTGGGACCACAGATGAAGAAGCCGGTTAATTCAGCCTGAGAAAAGAGAGGAGGGGGCTAGTTACAGAGAAAGGTGGTATTCGAGAGGAGTGTTCCTCAGACGGCAGGACCATGCCTGACGCTGGGTAGCAGAGGAACGCAGGGAGGAGGGGGAGAGGCGTGGGCCGGATGCCAGGTGGTGCGCTGGGAGGAGGGTGGTGGCCACAGCAGCCCCCAGACCTGGGAAGAGCCTGCATCAGCGTAGACTTGGTTCTGTAGCTGCAGAGGAGTGACTGGATTGGATTACGTGCTTTGCAGAGAGAATTCCTCTCACTAGAGTGGGCTGGATGGCTGGGACCAAAGGCTCCGGGTGAGATGCTTTCCTGACGGTCTGAGAGGCAGGCGCGCTGGCGCGGCCCCGGGCGATGTCCTGGCTCACCTTTCCGCCCTCCCGTTTCTCGTCCTCACAGGTAGCCAAGGTGCTGTGGTGGTACTACTTCTCCAAGTTAATCGAGTTCCTGGACACGATTTTCTTTGTGTTGCGGAAGAAAACCAGTCAGATTACCTTTCTTCACGTCTACCATCACGCCTCTATGTTTAATATCTGGTGGTGTGTTCTGAACTGGATACCTTGTGGGCAAAGTAAGTACTTTTGTCCGTTTTTCAGTTCTCGGTGATGGGTCTCTCAGTGGGCATTGCCCGACAGTCAGGGGAGGGAGGGGCCCTCCTGGCCTGCTTGTCGCACGGGGAGCACATGTTCCATTTCTGGTCTTTGATCTTGGCAGACTCTTTGAGTATTAACGTTAAATTTTTAAAATGTTTTCTTTTCCACGCACCAAACTGTCGGATGACTCTATTACTTGGGGCTGTAAAACTAAATATAACACCTTCCACCATCACCACTTGGCTGTGATATAGATTGTTCTTCAACTTTTTTTTTTTAAAAGTCATTTCAACTTTTTGGGCTTGTTTTCTCATTCTGAAAAAGTCATGTCGCTCTGACCCACAAGAGCAATTATTCTTTTTTTTAAATGAGAAGTCAGTAAGTAATATATTTTATTATCACACTCAATGCCCTCATTCATATGTATGTATTTTATACAAAACAAAAATTTCATGAAACAGTATTTAGCCTGGCTGTGTGTGATGCACGTTTAAAACAAAATTTGATTTCACTTTCCAAAACGCTGCTCTCACTACATTAATTTCACAATTCACTAATGCGTCAGTTATGGCCTGCAATTTGAGAAACACTGAACTAGAGACAACGGTACTTTTCTATTCGGTACTGTCTTGTGCCCAAGAATTTAACAGTATTCTGTGGAAAATTAGAACAAGTTAAAACTTAATTCAAAATTCTTTTGTCCTAGGATTTAGCATCTTGTAGAGATATTTTTAAAAACCCCAGGGTATCTGGGAGACATCAGTGACTGTGAAGATGCAAATTTAAACTACAGGGCGAAGAAGGGAAATTGCTAGGGGTGCAGTGGGCAGAAGGAGATGCTGTGACACTCTCCTAGCCCGACAGGCTCCGGTTGGAGTTTAGTTATTAAGACTGTAATAGACTTACACTGTGATCAATATACTGACTATAATCAACACCAAAGGACAGTCATCAAGGTTAAGAACTTTAAGTGATGATCAGCAGCTTCATTTACAAACCACTAAAGCATCTAAAAGTCAGTCTTAGATGATCACTGTGTAAAGACATGGTGTTTCAGCCACAGGGATTCTGTGTGTGACGATTCCTACTCAGTCTAGACTATCATAAAGAAAAACTATAAGCAACTATTTATTTTTTTATTAGTTGATAGAAATGAAAACTCAGGTTGGTAAAGAAATGTCACTGATACTATGCTGCCTGATACTCTAAAACTACACTTGTGTGTTCACATAAATTCTCCACCTTGACAAAGTATTCCAGCCAGCGTTTAAGGACTTGCTAGATTCATGACGGTGTTCCTCTTGTTTCTTACTCGTTGATTTGCGCTGATCTATCCAGATCACTAATCCAGGACTGGGAAGCCAGGCAGGAGAGTTGATTAACCAACATCCAGAACACTGTGCAGTGCCTTTTAGTTTACGTATATTCTCATTTACTCCTGTCACGACCTTAAGCAGTAATTGCACTCATTTTCCAGAGAACGGAAATGTGCAAAGTCAAAGTGACGTGTCCAACGGGAGGGGCACAGCTAACAGGTGTCGGCTAGCTGCTCAGCCTGTCTCTTCTCCCTCGGATTGAAAGCTCGGAGACCAGCCACCTGGATCCCAAGCTGACACAGAGCACGCAGTCTGTGCTGGGCTCCGTCCTACGCACTTCATACATTGATGCACGTACTCATAACAGCCAGCTCCGTTTGCGTTTCCGACATCTCACCTCTTGCAGCTCAGTCCTTTCAACCCTTAGTTGACCCAGCATAGATCTGAGCCCCACCTTGCTCCTTGGCTTCCTGAAATACAGTTCACCCATGTTAATGACAGAAGCTTTCATGAAGGTGACAGCAGGGACCAGAGGACTGCCATGGCACAGCATAGCACAGCAAATATCCTGAAACTGGATTTTATAGTCCTTGTCCCGGGAGTGCATGAGGTGGTCCAGCTCCTGGGGAAGTCTCCCGGGCCCGCCTCGCCGCCTCCTGCTGGACCTTCCCTCACCTCCCCAGCATCTCCTGGTTTGAGGTCCCTTTCAAGTAGACTTTATTCACCTAATTAAGAACAGCAATACGTTTTCCTCAACCCTCTAGTGCGCTGTTCAGCCATGTACTCGAGGCGCTCTTCCCACAGTCACAGGGGCGCAAAGGTTTAGCCACAGCAGAGACACTTGGTCTCTCAAAATTCTGCTGCCTTTAGGCTAACGTTTCGTTTTCTCCCTGATTAGCTGATAAGGATGACGGAGACAGCAGAACCTTTGCAGGTCAGGAACGACCTGTTTGGTTGGCACCCTGACCAGAAAACTGCCCCGTCCAGTCTTCTGTTTAGGGGACTTCCGCTGAGTCCCGGGAAAATGGCACGATAACTGGGGTGAATTCACCAGTGTGAACTGTTAGCGCCGTATTTGTTACTCATTTTCAGTAACGATGTACGGGAGGAACAGCACTGGATGAAGAGTGAACAGTCCTCCTTTCTAGAAGAACAGTAATTTTCCATACTGTACTTTTCTAGGTTTCTTTGGACCCACGCTGAACAGTTTCATCCACATTCTAATGTACTCCTACTACGGCCTCTCTGTGTTTCCCTCCATGCACAAGTACCTCTGGTGGAAGAAGTACCTCACGCAGGCCCAGCTGGTACGTTAACCCGTGGTCAGCGCTCCGCGTGGAGAGTCTGCATGTTCCCACGGGGTGGGGGTGGGGGGGCAGGAACCCCGGCCCAGACGTCAGAGCTCTCCTGGGATGAGGAGGCCTGTTCTCTCAAAATGTTGCCTTGTAAGCGTGAGACCTTGTGTGTTAAAACGTCCTTTGGGTCGCAGCTAGCTTACTCCTCGCTCTGAAATGTAGATGAATGCTTTAAAAATTAATGTCTGTGACAGCATTTTTATCTAACTGATTTCAACTGGGATTTTTCAAGGAGAAAATTAATAATGGTACAATTATATACAGTTCCTAACAGAACTGCAAACAGCATTTCTGGATAGAGTAGTGGGCTGCTTCAGCCTTCTGTTTCATGACTGTGAGATTTAGGGGGGAAGAGGGGTTGAGTGCTAAGCATATGATGCGCAGGGTGGTGTCCCCGGCCGGTGCCTCAGCGCGGTGCCCTGTCCCCGCAGGTGCAGTTCGTGCTCACCATCACGCACACCATGAGCGCCGTCGTCAGACCCTGCGGCTTCCCCTTGGGCTGCCTCATCTTCCAGTCCTCTTACATGCTCACCCTGGTCATCCTGTTCTTAAACTTCTACGTGCAGGTGAGTGAAACAGAAACAGGCCACGGCACGGTCTCAGGCTCTGCGCTTTGCATTGTGTGTTTCACGTTACTAACTAAATGTTACGGCAGCACGTGCTCCTGGACAAATTCAAGTAACAGAGGTCCACAGAGTACTAAGGGGAACTTGCATTCCTAACTCCCCTCCCCGAGTCGTCGTCCTCAGAGGACGATGGCCGCTGATGGCCTGGCGGGCGTTCTGTGAAACATGGGTTCCAACACAAGCTTAGCAAGCTTCACCAGAAGTACTCTGCATCTGAGTCACGTATTTGCACCTGCTGCCGAAGTCTGGCCTCTGACAGTTAAACCCTGTGTATAGTAACACAGGTCCAGGAAATTTGTAGGAATGGAGGAAAACACAGGCTAAATGAACTTAATATTAAACCGTTTCCATATCAGCTACTGCATTGTTGGATACTCACTGTTCATTTGGAAAAAAAAAATTTAAGGCAAACCAGTGTGGAAAGGTCACGCTGACTTTTTAAGTGTCATTTTCTTTTCAACCAACAATTTAAATGGAAGAGAGCTTCAAAATGCCACTCGACAGCGACTCTGTTATGTAAGAGCTGACGGCAGCAGGACCAGCACAGGCCTCAGGTGGCAGCGAACTACTCTCCTTTGTGGGCTGGGGAAAGAGCGCTTCGTGAGAAAAAATGAGAAGTTTATTCAAAACTGTATTTTTGGAATTGTATTCAACTATTTTCTTCTTCTTCAGACAAACACGTGCTTGCTGACTTTTTTAGTTTGCATTTGCTGGTTTTAGACAGAGTACAACTGTGGGAACAGAACTTCTGACAGCTTTTCAGCACTTGTGTTTCTGAAATTGGACTGGCAAGGCTTTGTCTTCTGTAAGAGATAAAAGTTTCCTTTGAGAATCTCTAAAGAAATAACCACTGATAGAACCAAACAAAGCCAACAACAAAAAAAGAAAGAAATGCTGAATGTTGCAGGGAGGCTAAGGGAGTCGTGGCGGGGGTGGGGGTGGACACTTGGGACACGGCAGTCCAGCAGGGGGCCTGGGCCCTCAGAGCTGTGGCCCCACACCAGGTGGTTTGAGTGGGGGCCCTAGTGAAGCTGAGTGTGTGTGCTTTTAGCCTTCACGCTTGTTGATACTAGTGCTTTAAAAAAAAAAAGTTAAAATGAGGTCAGGTGTTTTGTTAGAATAGGAATATGCCAATAGGATATGCCAAAGCACACATCCACCCAGAATCCCAGGCACTAGGACTTTTAAAATAGTAGCACTTTTTCACGTGAATTGTATTTTTTAAAAATTATAGCCTTAAATAAGTCACGGGGATGTAATATGTGCAGCATGGTGACTTTAGTGAATAATGATTCATTATTATGCAAAAACTGCATATTTGAAAGCTGCTAAGAGATTAGGTCTGAAGAGATCTCATGACGAGGAAATTCTGTTAACTGTGGTGGCAGATGGTGAACTAGACTTACTGCGATCGTTTCGGTGTATGCAAACGTCAAACCATGGTGCGCCCCTGAACTAACGTGTGTCACTCGTACCTTAACTTCAGAAAACTCCAAAAAATTACATTCTTTCCAAGTAAGCAACTAATACAGAATACCTTGACTGCTAATCCCATAAATCATACTGCATGAATACTGACCTGATGGAGAGCAGGCGAAACAGCTTTTCATTGGCATGCGTGCATTTGTTTTGGTTTTACCCTTTACTTTTAACCAGAAGCTTAAAAACTATCATCACAAACAAGAAATCTTGGGCAGAAAGTTCAGTACCCAAGAAAATCATGCATTGTTTTATTTAGACTGTATGTCATATGATGAACAAGGTCTTAGAATCCTTTTCTCTTTTTCTCATCGACTTGACTACATCCAGACATACCGAAAAAAGCCAGCGAAGACAGACATGGAGGAGCCACCTGCAGGGAAAGAAGTTAAGAATGGTTTTTCCAAAGCCTACTTGACTGCGACAAACGGAGTAATAAACAAGAAAGTACAATAAACGTTGAGTAAGAAAGCACATGCGCCTAACAGATTCGCTTGTTTTAAAGCAAAGACTGAATTGAAAGTTATATATATATATACATATATATATATATATATGTTTTAGCATGAACTAATTTCTTTTTGAGTTTATAAATCATTTGTATCCGGGATGTATTAATATATTGCTATTAGGTTACTCTGTTAACTGAATGCTTCCGTCAGCATTGAGGCGACAACTCCGTAGACCTCAGAACCGGTGCAACTTCTCGCTCCTTCCCGCTCACACTTAGCCCCTCACCAGAAACGGTCTCTATAACGCCTTATGCACAAAGCTGGACACCTGGATCAGTGGTTTCCACAGCGAGCCTTCAACTAAGAAGTGAGAGTTTTGTTCTGATTAAAATGTTGAAAACAAAGTGTTAATTATCTTCTAAATACAGGGTATGCCCTAATCTGTATTAAGCAATAATTGTCAGTACATGAAGGAATCAGTCCATTTGGACCTTTAGGAATCAACCCCAGAAAATCTCAAAATGGAATGACAAATGGAAGACCCAGCAGGGCTCTGCTCTTGGGAGTCTGACTCCAGAGAGGGGTCTGTCAAAGTTCCACAGCTACTCCTAATTCTCAGCTTAGTGACATGGTAATAAAGTTCGGTTGTTTTGTTTTTTTTTTTTTAAGAAATGAACATTTTTTATTTTGAAGAAAAATCCTCTGCCAAACCCTCATAGCTCAGGGGCTTTGGACAGGAGTAGTTCCTCAGTTTTCATCTGGTTTCCTTAATTATTTACACACTCATGTCCACCTCCCGTGTCCAGGCGCCCTAGGTCAGGATACAGATGGACCTGATGCTCAGCTTTAGAAGCAGGATCTGAATTTAGTCGCCCACTTCCTTCCTGAGCAAGGACTCGAGTCCAGTTGGCCTTGTGCCTTAGAATGATATGCCATTGGAGTATTTATAAATCAGAATTAACAGAGCAGTGGGGGCAAAGTAGACACTGAGTTGGCCAACAGTTTATGAGTCTACTCGTGATACTATCCCCAAGTACCCGATTACTCTTCTCAGGTTAAGTTTTTGAAAACAGGAAGAGAAAGAGGACCATGGAAAGTCTCCGGCTCTGAGCCCCAGGCCGGCGCGCTCAGCACATCCTCTCCCCGCTCTGGGGAGACAAGTGAGGGGAGAGGATGCCAGTCCTGGCCATCGCCTTCCTCCTGGAGGGTACCGCTGTTTACTATGACACTGGACCAAGAATGGAAACTGAGGATATTTCGTCAAGATCTGATGAAGGTTTATACCCTATAAAATCACTACCTATATATACCCTGTAAAGCAAGATTTGCCAACTCTGACGCTTTATCTTCTTTCCTCCCTTAATGTAAGAAGTTCTTAGGTCACAACATTGACATCAGGCTTTTCACCATCGCCCAGCAGATGACAGTCTGGGAGCCACTCTGTCCTTTGGGGGCCATTAGTTTGTTTTTTTTTTCCTGAGCTTTAGTTTTTAAGTTACTTTTAAACAGGAAGAAACACACTTCTGCTCTGACACGTACACTGACACTGACTACACTGACTTTTCCAACTTCTGCTCCCCGTAAACGCTGCTCGCGATCCCGGCTGCTGGGAAAGGTGACCGACCTTAGTCCCGTCTTCACGGTGAGGGCCTCGTGCCCTGTCAGACCCCTCCTCTACCCGCTGATCTGTTTCTACCGAACAGACATCTTCTGTCTAATGCCCACTTACTTGTGGATCTATTTTTCTAAATTATTTTCTAAAACTGACTTGCTCTAGGTGCTCGGCCCCACCTCCATCCCTTCACTTGTAAGTATCCTTCTCTCCCGGAAACTCCCTGTAAAACAAGGGCTCGCTTCGAGCACGACTGTTACCGAGCCTCTGACAAAACCCGAGTGGGACTGAGAAAGAAGCCCCTTGGAGCAAGTGGACTCTGTTCGGTTTTAGGTCTCAAACAGGAACTAAGATCAGTCCTTAAAGTGCACTGCAGGTAAAAAAGAGACTGAGAAGAGAGACATCACTGGTCAGCCACTGCATCCACCGTGTTCCCAGTCATCCACGAGGCCGTAGTCTCAGCACTCAGCATCATACCTGCAGTCTGGGACGCTTCGATGGGCTTCATGTCCACGCAGCAGGCAGGGAAGCATCCTTCAGCAGAATGAGAAAGCCAGGCAGCTGGAATCCTCTCTGATCAAAGGGAGAACCTCGGGCAGTTACACTTGCAAGCTCAGCTTAGTTAGAGGTCCCAGGATGCTTATTTCCAACCTGGTCTTTAATTCTAGAGGAGCTTAACACACATACAGCCTTAAACCATTCGAGGGCTGGTAAAAATACATAGCTAGGAATTCTTAGCCACAAAAATTGAATCAGGTCAATATTTTCATCTGTCGTGAAGTGTTACAACTTTAAACAAAATGTTTATTTTTAATGTGATTTTCCTTAGAGCATAATTGTAAAAAATATTGTATAATTTGTTTAAAAAGAAAGAAAATGCCCCCCCCCCAATAAACTTCCTCTTGCTCTTAGGAATGCAAACATTTAAATGAATATTGTAACCATATCTGTTAATTCCCTAGTTTTTTAAACTAACAGAATGTTCACTTAATGGAATTACATATGGAAATTTTCAACCCATCAAAATTATATACTGAACTGTTTGGGCATATTGGGGGAAAGGTCCTCCTCACTCCCATCAGAGAAGTATTTTTTAAGGCAAAATGCTATCTACTGTGATGGGCAGGACAGCACTTTGTAAGGGACCAGTCTGGTGCTTTCCGACAGGTACACAGCAGTTTTTGATGTTTCCGGGGACGTCTTTATTTGGAAAATAAGGATATCACTTTTTCGGTTTTCCTTTGAAAGTACTTAAATCTTAAGAACATTGCATCATGATTGGGGTGGCCAAGGAAGCAAGAGAAACCATTTTTCTTTGTAGATAAAAAGCATTCTGTATGATTGTTGTATAATAAATTAATTTTTACACTAAAATAAAGCATGTTGTGATTCTTATTTGGTTCAAAGAAGTTCACATGTGTTCTATATGCTATCCCAAATGATCTATTACTCAGGAATTTTTTTAACAATAAAGTGCTATCTTAGCAATTAATTTTAGATATTTAACTCTTCATTCCAATAAGCCATGGGCTTCTATGTAACAGTCACCTTTACATAGTATTCATATACCAAGTTAAACAACTTCAGAAAATGGCCATTCATAAGAAAACTTTAAGACCAATTAGATAAGCAGAGGATAGAAAAGTTGTAACAAAGTGCTGTGCGGGATAACCCGGGACGAGCACTGGATTGGTTGATGAGACTAGACTAGGCGTGAACAACGTGGTGGGATGCTCTGAAGCTCCGACTCTCCCCCGGTGGAGGCCAGAAGACAGGAGGCCCCTGTGGCTCAGGAGATGGGAGGCGAGCAGAGGCTGGACCACAGGGAAGGCTGGGAGAGCTGAAAGGTCGTGGGGCACATCACAGACACGGCCATGGTGTCAGTGTAGGGAGTAAGTTTTCATGTGATGTTAAGGAGAACAAAACACAGATCCAAAAGTGCTACAGAAGATTTGCTCAGAGTCTTCTTATGAAGTTGTTTAAAGTCCTGGCTAGTAACAGGATGAGGGCAGGGGAAGAGGGGGTGGGAGGTGGCCCTGCAGAGGGGAAAATTAACTGAGTCGGGGCGGAAGAGCCTCCCTGTCACCTGCTGCGATTTCATTATTTTAAACGAGTAGAACCAGTTCATGAAGGCATCCTGTTACTGCAAATTAGAAGCTGCTTAAACAGGATAAAGCTTTACCTAAATAAGTTCTTAGTTACCCTGTATAGAGGACAATTCGGTAAGTTTTTATGACTTCTGAAATTATTTTTTGCTACTTAAATTATTTATTTAGGCTTTATTCAAAATCAAAGTATGTTCATATCACAGAAGAGTTCTACTCCAGGGCAGGCAGAGAAATAAACACTCTCACAACACCTCGACCACACTCACCTAAGAAACCCCTTGACCTTCGGTAAGACATTTCAGTCATGGGGGAAAAAAGGAAAGGCTATTGATTTGTAGGTCATTTTTCTGTCTCGAGAAACTGCGCTCAGGGAACGCTGGGAGAACAAACACCAAGAGGACAAGTCAGGCTGAAACCCATACCCTCGTGGAGCACTTTGTAACTGCGGCCAGTGTGGCGCTTGCGAGCAAGCCCCTGGGAGCCCATCACACCATCTGAAGCCTGTTGGCAGCGGGGGTGAGGGACACGGGGGTGCTGCAGCCACCCTCAGGGCTCGCCCTCGCCAAGCTCTGGCACGAACCCTGGCATTTGCACGCACCGCGGTCTGTAACCTTCCAATGGGGCCTGGCCTGTGCACTCGTGTTGGCCAGTTACCAACACTCACCCTTTTACACTCGGCCTGTTAACCTCACTGACCCCCGAAGGCATTTAAATTTGTGACTCCCAAGCGCTGAACAACAAAAGGAAAAATTCTACACAGTTTTGCTTGGACTGATGTCAGATACTTTCAAGGAAATGAACTTAATATTCCTGTTGGCTGTGGCACTAGTGGTAAGTATCACAAATTGAAAATTTCCCTGAAAGATGTAAACACTCTACCAAAGACAGTCCATGTAGTGCTAGCTTTTTTTTTAAGGCTTGTGTAATCCTATGAGCTTTGAGAAACTCTGGAAATAGTAATGTTCAATTGAAAAATTCATTAACTCTACCTTTCCAATGCTGCTTATTAATCACTTCAGATACAGAAGGGACTCCGATGAGATACCTGGTCAAGTAGAGGGAGAAACATTCGAATTAAAAAAAAAAAAAAGAAAGAAGGAAAACAGCTTACCAAGCAAACTTTCCTAAAGAGACAATGTCTTCGTTTGATGGATGAGGAATTCTCCAGAGAGAGGAGGAGGGAACTTTGCCCAAGGAAAGTCCAGAGGTTAAACACCGAGGGGAGTCGGCACTGTCTCGAGTGCCCCCCAAGTGTCAGCCACAGCACCAGGGTCTGGAATAAAGTGGTGCAGAAATCAGACAAGGCTTTGGCTCAAAAAGCTCACGTCCAGTGGTCACCTAGAGGGAAAACCGGGGTTATCACAAAACAGGGCAAGAATGTGCTGTCTGTGCTGTTAAACCCACCAGGGTTTGGTCTCCCCTCACTTACAGGGGGAACTGAATTTGAATGCCAAGACCACTATTCAGTCCTGATTCAGCTCACGACACCATTCTACTATTCTTGGCTTGAGAAGAATGACAAAGACGATGAAAACAACATCACTCAGCGTGACTCATCACACTTTCGGAGTATACCTGAAGTCTTTTCTCCTTTTGATAACGAAAAACCACTGCACTGTGTATTAGGGTCCAATCCGAGGAGCAGAGCCGCTAGGAGAGGCCCACCTTCATCCTTCCTGGACTTGACCTTACACAGCTGTGGGAGTGACAGCAGCCTCCGGAAGGCTGCAGTCCTTGGGTCAGATGTTGGAGGATGAAGTCCGCAGGGCAGGCAGTCGGGAAGGGAGGAGGGATCCAGCGTGGGGAGGACCGAGAGCAAGCTGTGCACCGGAGCCCACGAGGACAGACCGATACCCTGTCAGCCCACATGCCTCTGACCTGGGTGATGAGGGTGTGCTGCAGGAGCCAGGGCCCGTGTCACAGAGCGATGCCCGTGCCTGGCCCGTGTCACAGCGACACACACACACACATACACACACACACACGCCTGGCCCAGGAGGAGGAGGAGGTGACAGGACCAGGGGAAGGCAGAGCGGCTGCAGGCCCCCATCAGAGGTGAGTCCGCAGACCCGCAACAGAGCGCATGCACCACAGGATGGCAGTCCTGCTACTCTGCCCCTCAAACCTACCACTAGACTCGCTCTGTGACCCGCTCTCACCAGAAAGCGGCAGGAGCAGGGGTCCTGGGAAATGCATTCAGCCCAGTCTAGCTGAAACACTACCAAGCCACCATGTCCCATCATAAAAATCAGAAATGCTGGTGACACACAAAGAAATCCAGTGACCCAGTGAGAAAACTGAAAGGCACGCTCCCAGCTCACCTGAATTCCCAGTGAAGGGGCTTCAGCCGGAAGCGACCAGTCCTCTGGAACCCAGGCGGCGTTGGCTCCTCTATTATCTGGTCAGTAAGCATGACCAGACCATAAATGCAAGAATCAAACCATTAAATGAGCAGGAAAGTAAGAGCCTGACCAAGTGCAGCTGGGCCTCCTACTCGACAGATCCCAGACCACGTGGAGACGGGCTTTCCAGCCCTTCTCGACCCAAGGCAAAGCGGGGTTTTTCCATCCTGGAGATTTTTTGCTTTAATTAACTTATTAGTTTCTGAAAAGCATCAAAATTTTGAACTCACTGATACCTGTTGCCCATATAGTCTAACCACTCTGACTCCCTGCCTCCCCCTCCAAACACACACACACACACACACTTCATTCCTTAGGCTCCTGGGACAGGCCTCAGCTACACTGGCTTAGACACACCCTGTATCAGTGAGGATTCTCCAGAGAAAGAGAACCAGTAGGACAGATACAGATAGAGATACCTTGATATACATATTTTTATACATAAATTATAAAGAGAGAGAGAAGAAAATGTTTATTTCAAACACTAGACTCACAAAATTGTGGGAGCTGGCAAGTGTGAAATCTGCAGGATGGGCTTCTATGCCGCAATCTTGAAACAGAACTGTTTCTTCCAGCAACCTCAGCCTTTGCTCTTAGGGCCTTCAACTGATTGGATGAGGCCCACCCCCTTTACGGATGGGAACCTGCTTTACTCACAGTCTACCGATTTAAATGTTAATCGTATCGGAAAATGAAATTAATTAAGTAAGTGCTCTTATACTCTGCAAAGCCTACAACAATATACTAAAAATAGAGCTCATTAAAAAATTCTAAAGAAAAACGATGACAAATGGGAGTTGTAAGGATTGTTTTAGGCAGATTAAACTATAAATAAATAAGTCATATTATGAAACTTACTAAATTATAATGGATAAGCTCATTTCAGTCTACAGTCTAGCTGAACTTATCCAATCATGAAGAAAACTTTTTTGTCGACAGCCTCAACTTGCGTTGTTTCATTTTCCTAAAATAAATTCACTCGACTGTATGCACAACTTTATGCACTCGGACTTTATTCGGGCATTTAGTAATTATCAAAAGATGACTATTTCTCCTCTGCCAAAGTTGGTACTTTTGTTAAAGTGCCAGAGAAACTGAGTATCTGCAGATCAAATGAAAGGACAACTATTTCGAAACACACCACCATTTTCACCTGAGCGATTTGCATCACATTTCAATTAGTTCTCCCTTAAAGAGAAACACCAAGCAGTACATATACAGATGCTAAGGTTTCCCCACCCGCAGATAACTTGAATTCTCAAACAGAAATCAATTTTACTTTCACAAATCATCAAAAAAAAAAAAGGGCAACATCACTCCAAGTTGCTAAACATCCTGAACTTCCGATTTTCTGACCAAATTTAATACAAAAGGTTGACTTGTGTAAACAAATGGACAAACTACCAACATATTTATAGTCTATTCCAGCTTGGCAGGTCTCAGGAATTCCATTTGGAGTGAATGAGCACAAAGCAGAAAGTCGCTGCTGGCGTGGCCCGAGGCAGCCTCATCTCCTCCCCGCGGCTCAGACTGACGGAAAAGAAACAGGACAATAGTAGTTAGTGGAGCCTGAACTATCTCCCTCATGGTCCCTCAGAACTCGGCAGGCAACATGAACGTCACTCCTTTTCAGTGGCTACATGCCTAACTTGGATACTCAGTGAAGTTGCATCTTACATGCTCTCTAGGAGCTAAGGTCTGTGCCCTGGGCCAGGGAACACTCTCAAAAATCTCTTAAAAAACATGTGTAACTGTGAAGACACATGTGCCATCTTTCAACAGGCTAATGCGCTAGGCTATTTCTTGGACGGAGGACCAGATCAAGTGGCCGGGCTGGCTTTCCGGGCCACCTTGTACAAAAACTGCGTGTTGTTAACAACCAGACTGTCACTGAGCCCAAGGATGCTCTCAAAACAAGAAGTAGGTAGGAGCTGACATCAGCTGAGGGAATAGATTCTCCCACCGTAATCAAACACTAGGGCACATGCTCATTGGGGAAAATGGCAGGCAAAATCACTTGTGTGACTTATTTCTCCGTTCTTCCTGTGTGCAGCACCGATAATTTAATTCAGGCATGAGAGACAGTACCGGTTACCTGCCCAACATCTAGTCTCCCCTTCCTCCTTATGAACAGAACTCTACTTTGTGAGAACAGTAGCATGCTCAGTTAAATTCTTGCCACCCCGGATTCCCGTGTAACTGAGTGACTCAGTGACTCATGTGACTCAGTTCTGGCCAATCAGATGGAGACAGAAGTCTTCTGGTTTGTCTTCTGTGAAAATGGTTTCCCTAATTTAAAAATAGAGGAGAATAAGGGGGAGGGTATAGATCAAGTGGCAGAGCACTTGCTTAGCATGCACGAAGTCCTAGGTTCAATCCCTGGTACCTCCATTAAAAATAATAATCACTAAATAAACAAACCTAATTACCTCCCCCTTCAAAAGAAAAAAGAGAGAGAGCAGAGTTCAGCCAATGTTAAAAATAAATAAATAAATAAAAATAGGGGAGAATAGATTCTGCTGGCACACATCTTTTACCAAATCCTTGCCCGTCTCCTTCCCTCTGCCCGGGGTGTGGAAGACATGCTTCAAGGGAGAAGAGTCCTTCTGTGGCTACAAAGCCCAAAGCCACAGGACGGGGGGCAGAGCAGGAAGCGCCGGGAACACGGGGCCCTGACTACCACCTAAAGCTGCGGTCCCAGCCCTGGAGAGCCTCCCTCTGCGCGGCTGCTTGTAGGGTTAAAATAAGACCCCTACTTGGTTTAACTGCTGGAGTTTGGCTTTTATTACGTGACTGAGTGTAACATGTTCATTTAATTCGCCGGTGATCCAGTTCCCCACGAGGGCTGGGAATTCTAATATTCTTAGCCCAGATTAGCCTTTTCTCCATATCCTCTTTCAGTACTATTTTGATTTGGAGATTTGTTATTTTTTTGCCCCCGGATAAAATAATAATGTTCTCCTGATAATGAAAGTCATTCAAGACCTATTTACCAGGGTCTTCACTCCAGAATTATTGGTAATAATCATTTTAAATAACCTGGATGTTCATCAATAGGGAATTGAATGTATAATCTACAGTAGGTACATAAGCTGGGGCACTGCATTTAAAAAAAAAAGCAGATTAATGTGACTGATTTGGAAAGGATTCCTACATCTATTGCTGAGAGAACAAAGGAAGACTAATGTGCATAATATTTACTGTATCATTTATGTTACCTAAAATACACATATTTACACTTTTGAAGATTTGTATATATTCTTATATAAGCACAGAAAAAATATCTGGAATACATACCAAATAGTAAGGAGACAATTCTCTCTGGATCATAAAGACAAAGGAGGGTTAGGGAAAGGGGGAAAAGTTCACTCTTTATAAATGTTATGCTGTTTGAATTTATCACACGAAAGAAATTTATATCTTGCACTAAGTCCTAAAAATACAAAACACTCTAAGACAGAAAGTAAATTCACCAAAATGTCACCACGCAGAAATAATCACAGTTGACATTTTGATGAGTATCTTCTAGAGTCGAGACCTCGTACTACATATGCATGCACACACGCCCCATCCTCCGTAACACCACCCCCTCCTGGGACAATTCTTTCTCACCCTCTTCTTCTGGCTTCATCTCCCTCATCAAACTTCAACACATTGGAGCATCCCGAGAATTTTGTTCTGGAACGTCTCTATAATTGGTTCCTAAATCAATTCTTCCAGTCTTGTGCTCAGCCCTCTACCATGAATTTCAGTCTCGAATATCCCAGTTACCCACTTGACAATTCCATTCACAGGCCGAAGTCACAAGTTCAATGTTAAGTCCCAAATCAAACGTTCAATATCCATCCACATCCTTCTCCTTCCCCGCCAGCCAATAAAACTGGACCTTTCCCAGTCTTCACTATTTCCTTAAATGACACCAATTTCCACCTAGATGCTCAAGCCCCAAGCCTGGAAGTTGTCCTTACTCCTGCTGCTTCCCCTCCAGCCACAGCTAATCGATCAGCAGCCCTTTCAGCTCCAGCTCCACCGCGTACATCATTTTCAACTTTTAACTCAGATGTTACTTCCTTAGAAGGACTGACTTGACTCTCCTCCTTCCATACCATCTGTCTCTCTCATCACACTTCTTTCCTTCTTAGCCTTTACCACGATCATGAGTTCTTATCTATTTAATTGTTTACCATCTGTCTTTCCTACTAGAATGTACCCCCAATAAGGTCAAGGGCCCCTTGGGTCTTGTTCTACCCCCTGGACCTAAGACAGTACCAGCACCTAAACGCCTCAACAGTTCACTGAGGGAATGAATATATGAACATAGACACCCTCATCTAACATTTAAAACGAATAGGATTGTGTTATACATGCTGTTTTGCAACCAGCTTTTGCTTCTCACTCACTGTTGAATATCTTCTACATCAATGTCATCCAAATCACTCTTTTTGATGGCAACATGACATACCATACGAGTGTATCGATGGATTTAACCGGACACTAGCTGGGCATCTAGACACTTTCTAGTACCTCCCTATTAGAGTCATCTGTAATACATGTCACAGTGCGTGTCTGGTGGCCAATTTCATCTTTAAGATAATTTCCTAGAAGTGGAATTTCTGTGTCAAAAATCTCAAAGCACAGCTTTGGACATTGAAAGGAGTTGTTAAAAAAAAACAAAACAAACAAACAAACAAAACCACCCACTGCATTTATTCCCAAATAAAATGAAGCAAAACACATGTGTTCAACAAATAGTCACTGAATTCTTTAAGGTAAAGGGAATGGCAGTCCTATTAAAATATATTTAGCTATGGTCTGCTTAGACCTCCAGCTTGAAGAAAAATCTCAAAGTTGATACCTGCGTTAAAAGCCCCATTATTAAATGCTGTAAGAATGAACAAAACTGTATTTAAAGAATCCAGCTGGGTGGGAGGGTTGTTGTCCTTAAAGTGACTGTGTCCAAGAGCAGAAGAGTTGGGGCCTGCTCTACACACATTAGATTTATTTCACTCTGTGGGCCTCACAACACGGCCAGGAAGCTCTTAGAGTGGTGGCCCCAGGAGCTGCTGGCCTGTCCAGGAAGCATGAGGGTTCATGGTGATAATGTTATAAACTCTTTCCTTTAAAGATCTGAGTCAATCCCATCTGGCTTCAAATTCCTCTTTGTCTTAGTCACTGTCAAAAGGCAGCCACTATCAGCCACGTTACCATCCATTCTCACCTAAAGACGGTTGCACGTCTCCTCCTCTGCCCCAGTCTACTCCCCTCCCCCACCCTCCGGAGCGCCCCTTCTCGGGCCCCTTCACCCCAGTCAGCCCAGCAAACACCTCAACATCCTCAGCCTCTTCTGTCTCCTTGCCTCCTCCTTTAGCTAAAACGTGGCTGACTCCAAGGCGCCACCTGTTACTTCACGGAAGATTGTTCCGTGGGTCTCTCTGCGCAGTTTCTCTTGTGTTGGTATTGGAATGCAAGGTTCATAAAAAGAACTGGGGAATTTGTACGCTCCTCTGTGCCGGAATAGTTTCAACAACACTAACATGATACTTTAAAGGACCAGCAGAATTCCTCTGTGATGCGATCCGGGCCAGACACAGGTTTGTAGGGCAGTTCTTTAACTTTCTCTACTTCTTCCGTGAACATTTGCCTATGTTTTTCTATCTATTTAGGAGTCTGTTTTATTAAATTATATTTTTCTGGAAAACTGTCCATTACTTGAGATTCTCATCAAAACTTGGATAAGCGCAGACAAATGCAGGTTAAAATGTTAACAAACGGACTGGTTTCTGCCCAAGTCACATACCCCTCCCACCCCAAGTCTTCCCTCGCTCTCTAATCGGCAGCACCATCCATCTAATTGCTAGAGGACAGAAGCCCAGGAGGCATCTGAATTCTCCTTCCTTTACCTACTGCTTCCACTTCTCGGGAACTTACTCAGTCTAGCCCCCAAATGCATCTGGAATCTCTCCATTTCTCACCATCTCGGAGGCCCTCCAGTCAAGCTTTCCTCTTCTAGTCTTCGCTTTTCCAATCAATTCTCAACACAGCAGCTAGAAAGACTTTCTTAAAATACAAATCAGACTACCCTCACCCCCCGATCGATGCCTTTGCTCACAGCCACCCAGATTTTCCTTCACCCTTAGTATACAATTCCAACCCCTCGACGTGGTCACTGACAGTCAGCCAGGCTCCCAACTTCGTATCAAGGAACTGTCCCCCTTACACCACCGTGATCCAAGAACTTTCAGTTCCTCCAAGATGTCAAAGTTCTCCCCAGCCCAATCCTGTTCCTTGAAACAGTTCCCAAGTCTAGTCCCTTCCCATTCTTGAAACGGCATCCTGAGTGTCACTTCCTCAGAGGGACCTTTAATGACCATCCTATCTGAAACTGATACTTCACACCACTGCTCTCTGCCAAAGCGCCTTCTCAGCGTCCCTCAAAGCGCTCAGTATACTTGTGATTGTTTTATTTGCTTAGTTTTCTGTCTTCCTTCAAGGAATTTACTTTGGGGTGGTAGGCGGGAGGGGAGCCAAGAACATGTCCGTGTGTCATTCACTGCATCTCCCTGTTTAGCACAGAGCTCGATGCAGGGCAAGTGCTCAATTATACGTATTTACCAAATTACCAAATGAAAGAATGACCCAGATCCAGAAGGATAATTTCTAGGATGGGAGATATGGTGAAACAGGAGGAAGCTCAGTGGAAGCGATGTAATGTGGACAAAGAATGAGAGTAACTTCTAGGGCTCACTTCCCCACTTCAAGTCACGGTGACTGAACAGAGCAAAGCTTGTACCTACCCCAGGAGCGCAGCATAAAGCGGATCTTTGGCGTTCCTCATGAAGGCTGAACTGGATTAAGCCTGCAAGAAATTGATCCACCTCATTATGTCCACATTAGACAATTTAAAAACAAGACTATATATCCGTGTGCCTATTACATATGTACCACGGAGTGACTTCATAGACTGTTGTATTGCAGGACCTTCACTGAGGAGGGTCAGTAGCCAATCCAAGATATCAATGTAAGAGATGAATATTTTCATCTGATTCTTTTTTATTGAAGTACAGTTGATTTACAATGTGGTGTTAGCTTCTGGTATATAGCAGTGATTCACTTGTATGTGTGTATATATTCTTTTTCATTATAGGTTATTAAAAGACCCTGAATGTAGTTCCCTGTGCTACACAGTAGGACCTTGTTTATCTATATTATACGTAGTAGTTTTTATGTTTGATTCTCTTTTATGCATTGTCTCTGTCATGCCACTAGCCCACAACACACGGAGAGGGATTTCATGACCACCATTCAAAGCACTGAATCCCTGTCTTCTGCAGCTCTGTGCTCGGGGCGGCAACAGTCCAGGGTGAGGAAGCCCTTCTCATCTCCCTAGGAAAGTGTGTCAAGCCACCACTGACGTGGTGTGATCTCAGCCAAGCTGATTAACCTCGCTAAGTCTCACGGGCACGTCAAGCACTTAGCCCAGAGCCCAGTGCCCGGTTGGAACGCAGTGTGAGCTAAGGGCACCACCGCCTTCTCTCACTTGCAAACCACGGGGCATGGTCCTTATGTGCTCAGAAGAGAAGAGAGCAAATTCAAAACTTGGAGGTTGTATACTTAAAAGCCATCTTTAGCCTTTAATGAAAAAGAATATGAAAACGAATATACGCGTGTATATGCATGAGTGCGACATTGTGCTGTGCACCAGAAACTGACACATTGTAACTGACTGCACTTCAATGAAAAATAAATAAAAGTCATTTTTGTTCTTCGAGGTATTCGAAATTCACACAGGGGCCCGTTATCAAGGGAGATGAACGAAAATAGTGATTAATATCTACAACATAATCTACATGAACTGATGAGACAGTTGCCTAAAATCTGGGTTTAGTCAAAACAGGTCCTCTACCCCAAGAAGTATACTTTAAAAGATGTATTTAATTCATTTCAAAGTACTAACAGTTACCCGTTCATTCAGGAAAGGCAGCCCAGATGTAGAAGTTCATAATAATGTTTTTAATTAAATTGTCTGAAGTTATTTTCTAGCAAAATAGATTATGAATTCTCTAGGTTTCAGAAGACTAAGGGATATAATCTCTATAAAGCTCACTATATTATAGATTATACTTACCTGTATTATATAGACAGATATACAGACAGGTAGATACAGTGTACGTAAATATACATAGTATAGTACAGAGAACTGCTTTATATCAGCAGTTCTTCACCTCACATTTGGGACCCTTAGGGAAACTGTTTCCAAAGGTTCTGTGAGGTCATAACTATTTCGGTCATAATGTTAATAGCACTAAGACATTACTTGCTTTTTTCATTCTTACTCTCTCACAAATGTTCAGTGGAGTTTTCCAGAGGCTACGTGACGTGTGGTACCACACTAGATTGAATTCAGAAGCAGACATCATGTCTTCTATTAAGCCAGACAGTAAAGAGATTTGCAAAAACATAAAACAATGCTACTCTTCTCACATTTGTTTTGAAAAGTCTGGTTATTTTTCATTAAAAAAAAATCTGTTATTTATACCACTATGCAAAGGTTTATTGTTATTTTAAAATAAATACATTTTTTAAAAAACCTCAATTTTTAATGTGGAAAATATTCAGAGATATATCCCCACAAAGCCAAGCTCTCTGAGGATTCTCAGTACATTTTAAAAGTGTTCAGAGGTCTTGATTCCAACAAGTTTGAGAACCATTAAGAGCCAACCACGGGCATTCAGTGAAGAGATTTTAAATGGAAACCCACTTTAATCATGCACACGGAGGGAGATGCATGCGTGAAAGAATTTTGCAAATCTATAGTCCACACTGTCATCATTATTCATTGTGTTAACTGGGGTCAACAGTAGCATGGAACTCAAATTTGGAAAGTTTTTGCTGTACTTGTCTGAAATACATGACGTGATCAGAATAATATCCCTTTTAAAACCACGTGACTTCGATTTCTGTGATAAAAGCTGATTCTCAACTGGGAGAGAAAGCTTTAGCCATTACAAACTTATACAGGGGCTCCTTTTGATTTGAGCAGGAAGAAAGCACAGAATGTCGCCCCGGGTACGGGCAGAGGCGTGACGGGCTCCTTTCTCTTTCCCGACTTCTTACACCCTAGGAAAAGGTACCGCGTTCCAAATGGATAGAAGCCGCAGCCTCAGAAGGCACGCTGGCTAGTCACAGCGGGATATACGTGGAGCAAGACAATCCCACGTGTCTTTTAAAACCGAATATACAGAATATATTTTCAAGAACACAGTTCAGCTTCACTGAAAATCAACGGTTGACTCAGAAGCCCAACCTCAATATTTTTCTCAAAATCTGTTTTAAGTATTTAAAAATATTGCTTAAAAAGAAAACCACTTGCATCAAAAACACTGAAGTCTGGATGACCCTGATTATGCTTGTCAAAATCAATACCCCAACTGACATCCTAAACCACGCTCTAAGCTCAGGGAGCCCCACCGGAGTGGCTGTTGAGAAAAGTTGTAGCTAATTAGCTACTAATCTAAGGTTTTACCAAACTCAGCCACTCATACCTGAGCTGAATACCTCCTATTTCAACTAAGATAAGCTCTAGAAAGAGTATTTGTTTAAAAAAAAATACCTCAGCAGTTGCAGATCACAGAATGATTTCAGATCATCAGACTGCTTCCCCCAAAATTCCTAAAATTGAACAAAAGGTTGGCTGGTTGGTTGCAGAAATTAGCAGTTGGTCCACCCTGGAACAGAGCCCCTTAAGTCACAGAGAATGTTCCAAACAAGAGGGACTTACCAGAACATTCTCCTCAAGGCGTTTCAGATCCTGAATATCCTTCTCAAGACTGCTCAGCTCTTGAAGAACAAAATCGTGAAACTCTTCTAGTTTACTCATTCTGATAAATAGAAAAGCCACAAATTTCACTGGGGCAGCTTGGATGTGACAAACGACACTCTTAATCTCTTATTGCAAGGATATTTCATATTCTTCCCTAGACATTTCTTGTCTTAAAAACGTATGTCTCCCATTTCTCTGGTGAAGACATACAGATGGCCAAGAGGCACAGGAAAAGATGCTCAATACTGCTTATGGTCAGAGAAATGCAAATTGAAGTTACAACGAGGTATTACCCCACACCAGTCAGAATGGCCATCATTCAAAAGTCCACAAACCACAAATGCTGGAGAGGCTGTGGAGAAAAACTGCTGCTACTGATGCGAATGTAATCTGGAGCAGCCACTATGGAAACCAGTACGGAGATTAAAACCAAACTAAAAATAGAGCTACCATGCGATCTATAAACCCCACTCCTGGGGGCATGTATCTTGCGAAACCTAAATTCGAAAAGATACATGCACCCCAATGTTCACAGCAGCACAATTTACAACAGCCAAGACACAGAAGCACCCTGAATGTCCACTGACAGATGACTGGATAAAGAAGCCGTGGTATATTTATCCAATGGAATACTACTCGGACACAAAAGAATGAAATATTGCCTTTCTCAGCAACATGGGTGGACCTAGAGATATCATATTAAGTGAAGTCAAGTCAGAGGAAGACAAATATCATATATCACTTAGATGTAGAATCTAAAAAAAATGACACAAATGAACTTATTTACAATTAGAGACCCATAGACATAGAAAACTTAAGGGGAAAGGCAGGGAGAGATAAATTAAGAGTTTGAGATTAGCAGATACAAACTACTATATACAAAATAAACAACAAACAAGGTCCTACTGGATAGTACAGGGAACTATATTCAGTAGCTTGTAATAACCTATAATGAAAAAGAATCTGAAACAGAATATTTATATGTATACCTGAATCACTATGCTGCACACTAGAAACTAACACATTGTAAATCAAATATACATCTCCCTTCTCAGCCCTCCCCTCCCTGCCTGCCCATCCTCGCCCCCAGAAACATAACTATGCAAACTTTGCTTGAGCCTTTCAACGGAAGTTCAGAGGCAACTGGCATTTCAAAAATCATTCTTAGTAGAGCAAAGGGGAGGTGACTCCAGGCAAAGGGAGACTGAAGCCAGACTTGGCTAAAAGCCAAAACACCAGTCACGGCTCCCCATCACCTCCCGCCTCCCCCCTGCCCCTCTTTCTCTTGCCTTCAGTTGGCCTTGAAATTGGCTGATAAACTCTCTTTCCACCTCTGCATTTGCAGCCTGAAATTTCTAACAGTCACTGTTCTGGGTCTAAACACCAGATAAACTGCTTATCTGCTCACTTGCTTATTTCTGCCTTCTCCGTTGGGCTGAAAGTCCCATGAAGGCAAAAAGCTCCTGCCCACTGCCCGCGGGCACTGAGCCCAGGACCAGGCTCAGTGTGCGCTCGCTGGATGGAAAGGGAGGTGAATGCATGCTCCCTACAAGGTGACAGGAGTTCCGCAAGCCCAAAGTCCCTCACGGGCTGATTTCGAGAATCTAATGATTTTGCGTATATATAAAAGTTTGAGACAATTATAAATTGCCATTTGTGTTACGTGTTCCACCCTAAGAAACCTTCTACTTCAGTTAAGCAAACTGACCTCTCATTGATTTCCGCCCTCCTCCCTTCATTTATAGGCCATTCCCTCCCATGAGGAACAGCTTCCATCCTTGCCTTCCCTGTACCAGGCAAAGCTGTGTCTCCAGAACCTCACTCCAGACGCACTTCCACTGCAATCACTGAATTAATCACAACAGAAACCCACCTCTGTACTCAACCCCTTCTCACTCCACATCTGTCTGAAATCTTAGCACCTTTGTTCTTCCTGCTACACGGACCTAGGGGTGTGTTTGTGCACGTGTGTGTGTGTGTGTGTGTGTGCATGTAAGTGTAGCAAAATATACATGGAATGTACCCCTGAAACCATTTTTAAGTGTACAGTTCAGTGGCATTAAGAACTGTGTGGTCCAACCATCACATCTCTTCATTTGCAGAACTGTTTCACTCTCCCAAACAGAAACTCTGTGCTGATTAAACAAGCTCTTCCCACTCCCCCACCTCTTGGGAACCTCTATTCTACTTTCCAGCTCCATGAATTTGCCTATTCCAGGTACTTCCTATAATAGGATCATATAATACTTTTCCTTTTGGATCTGGATGATTTCACTGAGCATAAGGTCCTCCAGGTTCATCCACGTTGTAACACGTGTCAGAATTTTCTTCCTTTTTAAGGTGACTAACATCCTACTGTACATATATACCATACACCATTTACCCAGCATCTTTTTACATGTATATCTGCGCTCACTGTCTTCACAATTGGACTATGCATTTTCTAAGAATGGTATTTTAGGATCATACAATGGAAGACCAACTAGAGGCTTAAGGAGGCTCTTATTTCAATCCCTCATTGTACAAATGAGAAACCAGAAACCTAGCAAAGTCAAGCAATTTATCAAACCTCACCTCGGCTCAAGCTTCCACTCATGGTCCCACACAACAGTCAGGAGACAGAGGCAGTTTGCCAAGGATCAGCCTTCCATGAACTTGTTTTGAAACCCAACACTTACCTGCACTGATGGATCTGGTTTAAAAGTTTCATTAGGCAATCTGGCGCTTGCTTTGTATTTTTTGAATAAAGTGGGCTCCTTCTGTACCTAAGCTAAATCATAACAATAACAAAATCAGCACATTTGGGTTAAACATAACGACATACATTGGGTGCCGGCTTTGTCCTAAAAGGATGCTGCCAGCACATAATACTCACAGTGCACATTATCACTAATGAATTGTGACCAGGCACCGTAACACACACTTCATGTGTTACCCCAGGTCCCGTACCAATAAAGAACGATGCTACTGATACAGACTATCATAAACAAATTTCCATTATAAATTAGCTACATCAGTACTACAGGAAGTAAGACTGGGGATCTTCCAAGTTAGCTAAGTGAGTGTATGTTAGGTAAGATACTTTTCTCAAAAGTGCTAATAAGTAACTCATTAGGGATTTAGAAACAATAGGGTAAAAATGGAAGGGACGTAAATGGTTTCAAAGTTCATCTTGCAGTCAAGGTTTTGTGGCACCCGTATGTGCAGGGTCTCAAAGATCTGCCACCACTCAGCTGACCATCCGCCCAAGTCACCTCTCTCCTCCACACGGTGCCCCCTCCTCCCCTTCCTTGTATATCACTGTGACCAAACCATTGCTTCCTGGTTTCTGGATTTCTGAGAATGCAATCAACACAACCAAACCATGAGTCTGCTTTCCACGTAGGTCCCTCTGGTCCCACGGCAGCAAACGGACAGGGAATAGCTTATAAAAACAAGCCACAGTTCACAACGGCGCTGAAGTCTGTGGCCACAGCTAAGACAAACATACCTCCCCAGAGACTCAGGGACACCTGCACACAGGAAGGGTAACAGTGGTACTGGCGAACAGGAACTGTCACTACAAATGCCTAACGAGCTGGCTGCTGCTGCTTCGTGGCCCATTACCTCGTGTTTTCTTTTCAGTTCTCCCGTGAAGTTTTCAAAGGTTGTGATCATTGCAGAACCTTTCGAGTTCTCTTGCGTAACTATTAGGGATGAAGCAGAAATGCCTTCCAAACAAGAAGAACGGAACAGTAAATCAAACCGACTAAGGGCTCCGGGTACATGTGCTCGGTCCACCAGCTGCCCAGAGGATGGACAGCCAGAGGCACGGACCTGACCCACAGAAGCCCCACCGGCTGCCCGGCTGTGACTGCAGCAGGACCGCTGTGGCCGGGCCCCACCAGGCCAGCTTGAGCAAACGCTTCATGTCACTCCCCACCCAAACTCACACTCTGGCAAGTGCTCGTTTCACCCAAACGTTCCCAGCGCTTTAAATAAGAGCACCCGCTAGTACATCTAAGAAGCAGACCCGGGTGTTGTAAGAGGTTTGCAGGAGGACGTGATGGGTGGGGTGTCTCCAGGGGCAATGCTGGCAGAACAGCTTCTGGGTACCAGAAGTTTTCGGAGGGCTCACAAGGGGTCTGGCACTGTTCTAAGGGATTTGTACTTATCAAGTCTGTGAATCCTCACAAAATCCAAGTGAAGCTGGCACTGTCATCGTCCACATTTAACAGAGAGATCACGTAACTGGTCCAAGCTCACACCCACAGCTCCAGGGTTGGAACACAGGCTGTCTGGCTCTTAACCACCTCCTCCTAGTCCCTCCAGGCTTCCAAATCTGCCTCTTTGGAGCCTACTGCTTCACTACAGTGGCATCGCTCACCCAGAAGGCCATCCTCACATATGCAGACATTTCGGATCACCCTCTTTTACTTGTACAGAGCGAATATTTCTAACACAAAAATTTAGCTGATCACCACCAACTAAAGCAGAGACCTACACGTTTAAGAACACTTGGGCCCTGAAAATGGCCACGAAGAGTTAAAAGGCAGAAACTAAAATGTCAGAAGGAGAGAGAGTGCTTGGTTTTATCCACAATCTGTGTAACAATTTACCCGTCTCTGAAAGGACAAAATACTTAGTTATTCGGTTCCTGCAGCTACAATGACCTTAAAACTAACTCCCTTGTAACTCATGTGGGGACATTCAGAGCTGAGACGGTTGTCACACTCGCACCTGACCTGCTGGCTGGGTGCACAGTGGTACCTGCCAAGTCGGTTTCTTCTGCTGCTGAGGACAGGGATCCCGGACCGTGACTGTCCTCCAGTCTCGACTGTTTCCACTTGGCAGAACGACCCTCCGATTGGTCTGAAGGCAAGCACAGCACAGTAATAAACACACACACCTTCCTCTGGTCCCGAATTTATCTTGCCCTCTCTTCACCCAGGATTAATGGCCAGCCCTGATGCACCGCAAGTGAGACTTGTTCCCTGCTTGTTACTAATCGCTCATTTAAGGGACACCCTGCTTAGCAGGATATAGACTGACTCAAACGAAAAGCAGTGATGGTTGGTGTCAAAAACGCTTTCAGGGCTCCGGGCTAAAGGGCGAGCTGGCAAGGTTTCCTGACCTGCCAGCCTTCTGAAGCTCATGGGATCACCCTGCAGAGGGCGCCACCTGCCGATTATACTGGCACTTCAGTGCTGTCCTGAGGGCGCCTCCTAAATGGGTCAAGTTCATTTCTCAACAACTCAGGTGACTCTGAGAGCCTCTGCTGATGAGATTTAATAAAAAGATTATCTTTTGTTTTTCTTTCTAATTTAAATGGCTGTCCTTTTTTCTCCTTTTCATTAACTTTTTTTTAATGGAGGTACTGGGGATTGAACTCAGGACCTTGTGCATGCTAATCCTGCCCCTCAAATTCTCTTTTCAACTTAGCAGTTACTATTTTCTTTTTTTAAAAAAATTGAAGTATAGTTCATGTACAATGTTTATAAGTTACAGGTGTACAACAGTGATTCCATTTTTCAAGGTTATACTCCATTCAGTTACTGTAAAATGCTGGCCATGTTCCCCGTGTTGTACAATATACCCTTGTGGCTTATTTTATATCCAATGGTTTGTCAGACTCACAGATACAGAGAACAAACTAGTGGTTACCAGTGGGGAGAGGGAAGGAGAAGGGTCAGTTTAGAGGTAGGGGAGAAAGAGGTACAAATAGTTTCTATTTTGATGTTCAGTTTCACCCCCAACAAGTCCTTACCCCATCTGGGCCCTCCCAGCCCTATCAATGGCATCGCATCATTGTCAGCAGCGCCCTAGCCCCAGGCCAGACCCGTTTTTCTTTTTGGTCTCCTTCTCTTCCATCTTCAAGGCCTGAGGTTCTGCCTACAGAAGGCACCTGTCCAAGGCCACCTCCCTGGAGGACCTCATCAGCTCCATACCTTCAGCTGTCCTCTCCGAAGTCTCTCTCTTGTCTGAGCTCTCTCAAGCAGCAACCTCATGTTTCCATCTCAGAACCCACTCTTTTCTCTTCCTCCCCAACCACATCACTCTTTGTTCCTCATCCATTGAGCCCCTGCACACACGTGCGCGCGCACACACACACACAGACACACGTAGCTGAGAAGCCATCTGCTCTTCCCCCTTTCCTCACATATCCAGCTAGTCACTATAGATTTTCCCCTGAAAGTTCTGGAATTGAACTTCATGAGTTCACTCAATGAATCCTGGAGTGTTACTCTGAGCAGGGAGCTGGGCAATATGGTGAGTTTCTCCTTCCGCAGGAGCAGGTTGCTCTGCCCTGGTCTCCCTGCCGCCCCTCAGGCTCTTGGGCACATTCTCACCTCAGGGCCTTTGCACTTGCTGCTCCTCCAGCTTGCATCCTCCCCCCCCCCACATATCTACACTAAGGTGTCCTCTGGTCATCCAAACTACAACTTCAGTGGGAGGGTAGAGCTCAGTGGTAGAGTGCATGCTTAACATGCATGAGGTCCTGGTTTCAATCCTCAGTACCACTATTAAATAAATGAAAAAATAAATGAACCTAATTACCTACCCCCCTCAAAGAAATGGCAAACTAAAATTTCAACTTCCCAACTTTTAAGTCCCCTTCTCTGCTTAATTTTTTCTTAGCCTTTATCACAGGGTAATAGTCTATAATATGTCTCCCCTACTGGAAGGTAAGGTCCAGTGAAGGCAGGTGTGCTGTCTGTTTTGTTCACCAGAATATCTAACATGTAGACAAGAGCATGGTAGACATTCAGCAGACGTTCACTGAATGAATAAGTAAATAAATGCTGCAGAATATTCTAAAAGAGGATCTTAGTAAAACAGGAATTTATTCTAATTATCTTATACCATCAGTGGGGGAAGAGCTACAGGAAGATCAAAACTATTAGAGACCCAAGTATCTACTGCATACATAGTAAGTAGAAATTAGTAAAATTTAGCATTTTGAGGCTTGCCGAAGCTACCTTTTGGGAGGAACTGTAAATATACTCATTTTTTAGAAACAGCAGCACAGCAGGAAATACCAGTCATAAATATCAAGGTGACAAAAGGAAAAGAAAAATAATTTTGCTGTTAGAATTATGCAAAGTAGAGAATAGTCAGTGTTAAAATAGTTCACGCTCTGTGGTAAAATAGAAGATACATTTTTTAAGAAAAATGAGTAACTTAGATTATTTTCTATTAAAGGACAAAAAAGAAATAGCTAAACAAGGGAGGTATAAAACAAGACTGAGAGAAAAGGATGATCAAAAGCAGAGCGAACTAAATTAATATCAGACATAAAGTGAGCTGAATACATGAATACATGACCTTCACTTAGTTGGTTTGCTATAATAGAATTTTCATAAACTAAAAACTTCATTAGCGATCACATTCCTACTCTGAACTTTGAAAAGAACCCACATCCAGCCTCTCTGTAATAAAAAAATAAATAAATAAAATGAAAAGCATAAAAAATATTCTCAGCTTTGAGAGGGGCCACTATCTCTTTCTTCTCACTGCTCTTAGATTTAGGTGTGTTCGTTTGTTTGCAAAGCATGGATGGGTATTTCCAGGGAGTTGCCCTGTTTCAAAGCTAAATGGTTTTTTAAATCAAAGAAAAGAATCCAGGCACAGCACGGCCCTCTTCCAGCCACAAAATAAACAGCACTGATGCTTGGCTCTCACATGGTGTCTATACCCACGTCGTGGCCCAAAGAAACCACTTAGAGAGGATTTCAGCTAGCCCGATTTGGGCAACTACATCTCTTTACATCTCTTTCCTTGCTGCTCTTTCTAGATTCTTAAAATTTTCTCTTCTGACAACATATTTGCAGCCACAGCTCAAAGCATGGCCTTGAATTTCCATTTGTCATGTTCATGAACCACTAGTGGAAAAGCAGGGCACCTGCTGGCACAGATAACAGGTACCTTCTATGGAGAGAGGAATCCAGGAACAGTGCATAAATAACCTGGTTACCCCTTGAATGAGTTGCTTGGAATTTGTGATCAATTTACAGGGATCATTCAGATGGACCACGTGGGGGTATAAGGAAGTAACCTGGCATATAAAAGCCTTTATGAGGGGGACATCTTATAAATGTCCTGAAACAAAGGAATGGCTCTCAGAGGGAAGAGGCGCCTCTAGAGAAACTGAAGCATTTGTTAAAGGCTGCAGGTCCTAAGTGATGCAGTTGCCTCTGGTTCGTTTCCATGGTAACTGCATGCCTCTTTTAACTGGGACTTTTTGACATTCTCAGAAAGGAGTTCAAACCAGGTACACAAAGCACTTCAGAAATGAACACGCACACCGTGGCTGAAAGTAAAGTGATCGCAAATGAACGCTAACTCTGTTGGTTTGCTGGTGGCTGGCAGAGGGGCTACGGGCTTGCTTGTGAACACGGCCGCCTCCATTTCTGCGAAGATTGAAGACTTCTGCAATCTGAGGGGCCTCTGAACCTATCTGGGGTGGTCTATTGGGCACAGGTCGCAGTGAATAATTTGGTGTCCACACTGCATTGATACACTCGTACTTCTGATGAAACGATTTTTAGCGCTACACAGAACCCAGCCCTATGGTTAACAGCCAACTTCTCCTGAGTTAAGGCGTTTTAAAAAATCTTACTCTGAAGTGACACCCTGTGGCCTAAAATGATAAAGGCCAACAGCCTTCACTGGGGCAAGAATAGCCGTCTTTACCAAAATACCCTTCCTGTGGGAGCCCGTTGCCAGGACCAATTTCTTTGTTTTTCCTACCAATGTGTACTATGCTGAGAATAAAAAAAATTAAAGACAGTCTTTATTGCTGAATTTCTTAGTCTTACAAGGACTACTGAAATATCTTTTGTCTGGATTACTGCATTTTAAAAATCAGTAAATCAATTAATAATAAATCCTTATTTGTGACTAAGCATCAATAACTATTCAAATATGGGATTATGCAGGTTCAGCACGAAAGGACAGTGTTTTCTAAGTTTCTTACTCTGGTCCCCTAGCAAAGATTTATTGGACGGTTCTACATGCCAGGCACCATACTAGGCATTCCTGGCTTCATTGTTTCATTCAGTGCTATCTTCCTGACTCACTCCCAATTCCTGGGGCCTCTCCAAGAAGGCACATGAGGGCAAAATGCAAAACCATGAGTGATTATCCTGCTTGCTCACCGTTCTGGGAGCACAGTATATCCAAAGTTCCAGGGGAAACATTAAAACACGGGTTGATGAGAAAAATGGCAGAAGAGGAATTCTCTACTGTCTTCCCCACAAAGGATACTGATTTTGAAAATCACCTACTGACAAAAGTGCCTTTGTGGAATTTCGGGAGCCCAGTGGGGGAAGTTCTAGCACACTGTTGGAGGGGAAAAAAAAATCCAAGATTGGACGCACTGAGGAGGGTAACAAGGACAGTTTTACATCAACACTTGCTCAAGGCAGCAGAGCCCAGGACCAAGAGAGAACTTTTCAGCCCATGATTTCTCCTGTGGGGGAAGGTGAGAGTGTCTGGGCAGTTTCCCCAGCTGTGTGGGACCCTGCCAAAGAAAACCACTTCTTTCTTGCTCCATCCAGAATACTGAGGTATGCTACGCAAATGAGGGGTGGGGAAGGACCAGGAGAACAACATCCAGGGTTCTCAGAGAGCATCAAAGGGATGCAGAGCCTACTAACTGCTTCACAGACTCCATTAAGAACCCTACTCATGAGCTGGGGAGGCCTCACCTATGGATCCGCCTCTCCCCGCCAAATGGCCCAAGGACACTGCAAACAACTGTATGCCTCACCCACACACCACGCCACCCTATGGTTTGCTTACTCTGCACACCCCCACAAGGGCACGGACTCTGACCCTTCGCAGACAGGCAGCCAGTCCTATTCAGCAGGATTGGGAGTAAGCACACAAGACTGAACATTCACCACTGCAGCAACAGGAGGCTGTCAGCACCTGGTCCAGCCATGCAGATTCCAGAGAAAGCATGCAATCTTAAGAGGTCCCCCATAAAAAGAAGATGAGTGGGGAGCAGGCATAGCCATAGAAAAGGTCTGAGAAGGCTTCAGAATCCCTGGGAGACAAAAGGTATTTCTCTCCTGAAGCCAGTCAGTAAAGACTAAAGGAGGTGGCTGCTTCTTCAAATATGAAGACAGCAATGCAAAACTTCAATGAACATGAAGACTCAAGGAGACGTGACACTCCAAAAACCCACAGTGATTTTACAGTAACTGACCCCCACGGAAAGTGGAGGTCTGTGATTTGCCTAAGAAAGAAAGCAAAATAATTGCCTTTAAGATGTGCAATAAGCTACAAGAACACAAAGACAATTCAACAAAATCAGGCAAACAATAAGCCAACAAAGTGAGAGGAATCACAAAAAAGAACCAACAAATTATGGAGCTAAAGAATACAAAAGTGAAGTAAAAAAATGCAATAATAGGGAATATCAAAAGCAGATCTTATCCAGCAAAAGAAAGAATCTGAGATGTCAAAGACAGATCATTTATCCAAATTATCCACTCAAAGGAGAACAAAGAAAAAAATAATAGAGTAAGAGAGCCTATATGAATTAATGTGATAGCACTGATAGAAACAAACTATGCCACTAATAGATACCCCTAATAGAAATAATTCATTGAAACAGAAAAAACAATCCTAAAATTTGTATGGAACCGTAAGACTTCAAGTAGCCAAAGCAACCCTGAGAAAGAAGAACAAAGCTGGAGGCATCATGTTTCCTGATCTCAAACTACATTAGAAAGCTTTAATAATCAAAATAGCAAATTATTGGCATAAAAACAGACCCATAGATCAATGGAATAGAATAGAGAGCCCAGAAATAAACCCATGCATACATATATGATCAACTAATTTACAACAAAGAAGCCAAGAGTATATAATGGAGAAAAACAGTCTCTTCAATAAACGGTGTTAGGAAACTATGACAGCCACATGTAAAAGAATGAAACTGGACCACTAACATCATACATGAAAATTACCTCAAATGGATTAAAGACTTGCATGTAAGACTTGAAACCACAAAAATCCTAGAAGAAAACACAGGCAGCGAGCTCCATGACATCTGTCTTGACAATCACTTTTTTTGGATTTGACACCACAAGCAGGCAACAAAACAAAAATAAATAAGTGGGACTACACCAAGCTTCTTCTGTACAGGAAAAAATAAATAAACAGAATGAAAAACCAACCTACAAAATAGAAGAAAATATTTGCAAATTGTACATCTGATAAAGGGTTAATATCCAAAGTATATAAAGAACTCACATAACTCAATGGACAAAAAAAAATCCAATTAAAAAGTGGGCAGAGAATCTGAGTAGACATTTTTCCAAAAACACACAGGTGGCCAACAGGTACATGAAAAGGTGCTTAATAGTACCATTGATCAGAGAAATGAAAATCAAAACCACAAGGAGATATCACCTCTATTTAGTAGAATGCCTGTTAACAAAAGACAAGAGATAACAAGTGGTGGTGAAGATGTGGAGAAAATAAAACCCTTGTGCACTGTTAGTTGGAATGTAAATTTGTGTGGCCACTATGGAAAACAGTATGGAGGTTCTTAAAAACATTAAAAATAAAACTACCATATGATCTAGCAATTCCACATCTTCATATTTAACAGAAGAAAAGAAAAACATTAACTTGGAATTATATGTGTTCCCCTGCCAATGTTCACTGCAGTATTGTTTACAACAGCCAATACATGGAAGCAATATAAGCGTCCAATGATGGATGAATAATAAAAATGTGGTGTGTGTGTATATGTGTATGTGTGTATGTATATATATATATATAAAATGTATGTGTATACACACACACACACAATGGAATATTATTCAGCAATAAAAAATAAAGTCTTGCCGTTTGTGACAACATGGATGGACTTTGAGGGCAAAATGCTAAGTGAAATAAGTCAAACAGAGAAAGACAAATACCATATGATCTCACTTACCTGTGGAATCTAAAAACAAAAAATAAAACCAAACTTTTAGGTACAGAGAACAGATTGGTGGTTGCCAGAGCTGATCTATCACTAGATCTGCTTTACAAATAATGTGGAAAGCAGTTTTTGTCAAAAGAAATGAAAAAACACTAATAGTAACATGAAAATATGAAACATCCTGGTAAAGGTAAGTCTACATTCAAATTCAGAATACTCTAATACTGTAATACAGTGATGTGTTAATCAACTCTAGAATAAAGATCAAAGGATAAAAATATTTAAAATAAGTATAGCTATAATAATTTCTAATAGATACACAATATAAAAAGAGATGGATTATGAGATCTAAAACATAAAATGTGGGTGGGGAGAGAAAAA